GCTTGCAGTTGCATGTCTAGTGGTGTACATGCAACTGGCCAAAACAACCCTCGGCCCTAGTTGAAATCACGTTGTGCACATGCTGTTGCAGTCATGTTACAACGCTTGCAGTTAAATAAACATTAAAAAGGTAACAATTCAGCAAAAAAGTGAGACAATACAGAAAACCTATGGACCTACAAGGCGACAATGCATGAGTGTGAAAATGTGAGCTAGCACGCATGCCACACGAAAAAAACCGCACAGACACCCTAGGGCAGGTACTGTTGCGGGCAGGTACTGTTGCGATCCCCTGAAAAGGTTGCATTTGGCCCCCCATGAAAAACATGCAGTTGTGATCCCATTTAAAACTTGTAGTTGCGATCCATTTTAGAAAACTTGCAATTGCGACCTATTTGAAAATTGCGGTGACCCCAGAAAACAGAAAATGAAGGGAAAGCAAGATTTATCTAGGTGTAAATTTCAAAATTAAGAAAATCTCACCCATTAAAAAAATATCCCATCCGACTGGACTTAGTTACAAGTATCTACATATAAGGAATACTTTTTAGCAAAAAGTAAAGAAAAGGTTAAAAAAAAGAAAAATCAAATGATAACAACAACAAAAAACACAAAAAATAGGACAACAGATAAGTCATGTGAATCAAGATTGGCAGGGTCGCTTTCCCTATTAATGTGCAGACATGAAAAAAGCTGACAAAAAAACATGAGTGTGGACTGTGGTAGCCGGCGCCTAGTAATGCGCTGGTGCATGTCCCTACAGCGTTGGCAAACAGGCCGACAAAACAAAATAACTTAGGATGTTGCGCCCGCGTCCCTGCGTGTAGAAAAAAATAGCACGCATGAATCTCCACACCTTTAGATCGAATGGCTAGAGACGTGAATGAGACCAATTTATTTCTCATCTAGCTGAGTTTTACCAAAACCGTTTTCTTCATCCTAGTGGGCCATTGCTCCTTGGAGAAGTAGAGCTTGCCATCGAATAGGAGTGGCTGCTCCAACTAGGCGGATCAGAGCGACCATTAACTACCTTACGTCAGCCCGTCACCTCTTCAATTGAGAGATCCGTTTGATCGAGCGGAGTGTCAATTGGCACTGCAATCTGCGAATACTTCAGGGGGAATGAAGCACAACAACTTCTCAACGGCTTGCTGTGCGTCGACGAGATCGCCGTGTATGGTTAACAAACTCATGAGGCCTGGAGAAGCGGAGCAGAGTTGTCGAAGCTCTCCCCGTCATGCAAAGTGAGCAGTTCCCACTCCGTGTGCAGCTTCTGCACTGCGGACGCGATCAGTGCCGATGTAAATCCCACGGGTCACCTCCCAAGCTTCCTTGGTTGTACTCTTGATAACCAGGATGCGGATCATCTCCGGCAGCATGGATCTAAGGATAGCCTTAGAGCGCCATGCGATCTTCTTGGTAGTCCGTGTTGCCGAATTTTGCATGGCACAGACAACGGGCCTCCATATTCACCCTCATGAGGATGCTCCAATCATCATAGGATGTGTTTGGTTGCCTTCTCCGATAGTGCCTGCATTTCATACCCGTTTTCATCTAGCGTGGTTGAGCAAAAACTTGCAACAAACCAACATTTGCATGTTGTTCGGTTGCCAACATTGCAACAATGAGCACTTTAGGGCCGGCTGTTTGGCTAGATACATGTTTTTGTTTTGCTCGATCCCCCCATTCAAATGTGGTGGCCTTACCACCATATTAGCAGCACAACTGCATGCACAACTGACAACAGATTAGGAAGCAAACAATGACAGCAAACAATGCACATGAAGGTAAACAACAGATTAAGAGAGAAACTAATAGAACGACGCCCAGAGTTAAAGAAAATAGGGGCATCCATGCCCCCTGCATCACACCAAGGTGCTGATCCTGGGCAAAATATGATCAAGTTCACAACACAAGTTCAAACCATCACCACCACCATAAACTACTAGCAGTTCCATAATACGACTTGGTACTAAACTGACAATCTAACTAGAGAGCGCGGGAACAATCGCCGAGGCAGCTGTGCTTGTTGCAGCACACCTTGTACATGATCAAGATGTCATGGTTGTAGATCAACACCTTCAGGACAATGCCGGAGATCCGTGGGACAAGGAGGTCATCGGGGATGACCCTGCGGCGGCAGCAGAAGTACTGCCAGCCCCGGCCAAGCATCAACTGCGCCTCAAATTTTTGGACCTGAACCCAGAACTCGCACCACTTGTTGGACGATAGCTCGACGATGCGCGGGAACTTGGGCGGGATGATGAGCATGGCGAGATCCTCCTAGAACTTGACTTGGACGTAGAAACGCAGCGGCTCTCGGGACCCCTCCTCGAGGCTGGTCCTCGAAGATCATCCCCTTGAATGTGGCTGGCTCATGAAAGCAACCCTGCCAGGAAGGTCCACCATCTTGAGCCAGCGGTTCGTGGGGTTGAAGTCCACAACGCCCTCGGCGCCAACCACGACCTAGGCTCCTCGACTGGCCCTGTCCCACTCCCGTATTCATCACCTTGTCAGGTGAGATGACATGGATTAGTAACAGGACATAAGGATCAGACACTCATGAGCGACACTTGCTGAAAAGCAAGTGTCACTGATGAGTGGAACTTGCTCTTGGGCAACAACCACTGATCAGTGTAGTTTCCAAAAAAACACGGCCATGATCTAAAGTCATGTCCTACAACGTGTATGAGCATGCAAATTCGTCCTAGCTACCATGAACACCATGCACATAATGAAATCATGCAACATACCCTGCCTATGCCAGCACCAATCTACCTTCAACATCAAACACAAACCCTGCCTATGAACAACCTGAACATGAAGCATATGCCCTGCCTATGCCGACTCTAATCTACCACGATCCGCTAACTACAATGTAACTACCTATCATGCAAGAACCCATCTATATATGTTGCCTATGAACAACATGAACATCCACTACAGTGACCGAAGCAACAGTAGCAGGCAAGAAGGAATCGGTTGGTTCGAATCGATTCATTGGAATCGAATTGAATCGAATTCAATCGATTCCTTGTCATGCCTAATGCAAAAAACCCTCATCTACATGTACGAGCAGAGGGGAGATTTATAACATACCGGAGCAGGTGCAGTTCGAGCGTACGCCGGCCGAGGAGAAAACCACGGCGGGAAAGAGATGGCGGGTGAAGAGGAGGAGGAGCTGGCAATGGCGACGGTTGTCGGCATTGCCCCGGTGCTCGTGGCCACGCGGATTGGTCCCTCTCCTCCACATTTCAAAGAAAAATAAACATGAGCCTAGACTCAATAGAAAAATTCCTACGATGTGAACCAAATGACATCTCCTTTCCTAATCATACCCATAGGATTTGAGATGCATGTCATCTCATTTCCTACAAGTTTCCTATTCCTGTGCTAATCCTATCCTATGAACCAAAGAAAGCCTGATTGTTTTCGGTTTCTGCTCAATTATTACACGTGTCCCTTGTGGCAGTACAATAATTAAAATATTTTCTGTGCATGTTTTTCCAAGAGGTGTTCCTGTAAGGCTGTAATCTTCCGGGCTTTGTCCAATTTGCACTTTTTTTAGTTGTAGACAATTATTGTTTTTTTAGCCTGCTATAGACAATTATTGTGATTCAAATGAGTGTTTAAACAACAATTCAGTTGTTCAGAGATGCATCATCGGTATATGTTTAATCAGTGCTTCTGCTAGCTAAGGTGTTCTAACTTACATGTTTTATTCCAGTACGAGATATACTCTGAAAATGTTGATGACGCTAGAGAGGAGACACTGAGAGTGCTTTCGTCTATCAAAAAGTTTGACCTAAAAGTCATATATTTTGATGGTTGGCATGGATTTGGGGTGTCAGCTGTTTTTAGATCCATTGCAGCAGTGCTTCCATCTATGAGAACAACTCCGAATCTATGCTTTGATAGAATAATTTACATTGATTGTTCAGAGTGGAAAAGTAGAAGAGCTATGCAGAGGGCAATTGCAGAGGAACTGGAACTTGATAGCTCAGTATTGGCCATTCTAGACCAGCAGGATGAGGAGGATGACTTCAATGGAGTCGATGAAGGCTCTAGAGATGTGATACAAAGTGTTGCGGCTGTGATTGACAGCACCCTAATGAGTAGCCGATTTATGATGATTTTTCTTAATGGAACTGATGATGAAGTTGATGTAACAATCTTCGGTATTCCTCAGTTTACAGTGTTTCGGAACAATATGATGATGTGGACCTTCAGAAAAAGGTCCCTGGCCATAAATAATCACATTATTGAGAGGGCAAGCAAGCTAAGATACACCCATTCAGGCTGGTATTCTGTTCCCCGAATCGGACTGCTAACAAATGCAGAGTTTGAAGCAATACTGCTTGAAGAGGCTAATGCCATAGTGGCCCACAATCCATGTATGCTAGACATCAACCCCAAATTGGTCGCAGAGTGTTGCCTCTATGAGTTGTTTCTGCATTATAATTTCCACACCACCACCAAGTTCAGTTGGGCAAATCATGCACCTAACTACTGGATGTGTGACGGGATTATACAAGGGGACATGACACAAGAAATTACTATTGCATGCCAACGGGAGATAAATTGGAGGTGCGATGCTTCAGTGCTTGATGATTTTCTTAAAAAGTTCATGAGACATTTGGAGTCTCCTTTTCTGGCAGTTAAAGATGATGATGTCTATAAAGAAGGCCCACATCGTTGGATTTCAGTCACATCAGGGAATACAAAACTGCATGGTATGCAAAAGATACCTGCGACGACATCATCTTTCTTCTTGGCATTTAAAACATCAATGACCTACCAAATGGATTGTTTGAACACTCAACCAAGCTTGGTGTGCTAATTCTCTGTTATTGTGTCTTCAATTTTGCATCACCTCCTTTCTTGAAGTGTCATAACCTAAGATTTCTCGGATTGGACCATTGTACAGATGACAAAACTACTGAAGGAGAGAATCATACAAGGTGGTTATGTTTGTACAGCTTGTGGGTGTTGGATCTGCGTTATACAGAGTGGAATGAAATCTTACCTAAGGAAAAGCTAAATCTCATGACAAATATCAGAGAGCTAAATATAGAGGGAGTCTGGGGCTGGCAGTACTCTGCTGAGCTACAAGGGAAGCTACCTAACCTTCAGAGGCTCCGACTAATAAAACCAACATGTCAGTGGGATACATCAGAGGATGTTGATAATGCCTTTACAGATAAGACAAGTATGGAAATACTTGATTTGTCAGGAAACAGTGATATGAAAAATCTTCCAACAAGCCTATCAAAAGCTCGCAGCCTTGAGATGCTTATACTTGATGGTTGTGATGGGCTTGAAAATGTTGGCAGGCTTCCTTCCTCCCTCAAATACTTTAGCTTTGATGGACATGGGCCAGCTTCTCAGTGGACACAAACTATTGAGCTACCTCCGAAACAATTCTGGCCGTCCACCACAATCGATAATAATGACAGCAGAATCTCCAAGATCTCCTTAGAAGGCTGCACACAATTGGAGAATCTATACTTGTGTGGGCTACCCAACCTCGTGGAATTGGACCTCTCTGGAACTATGATCAAGGTACTTGACTTCAATTCTATGGTGGTGCAAGTCCCAAGGCTCAAGCGACTGTTTCTAATAGGATGCAAGCGACTTCGTGCAATAGTTTCATTACCCGAAAGTGGTTCTGAGGTAAAACACGACCTGCAGTTGATGTGCATGGACACTCGAGTTGGAACCGTGTGCCCTCGGCCATCCATCAACAGGACCAAATCCTTCCGGTTCAAACTTCATGTTGTTGTTATGGATGCGAGGCTTACTCGCTCTTTGAAGGATGGGTTGTCGCCTTATTTATACGGCTTCCCACCCGTGGATGTTTATTATAATATCCATGTCACCTCGTCACCCGTGTATGATGGACTTGTTCAATCTGAAGCAGCTGGCAAGAATAAGATTGGTCCCGGTGATCAAGAGAGCTTGCAGCAGCTTTTACCAGCCGGCCTGTATAGTGATGTCCTTTGCATGGTTGGCGTTGGCGATACCCCGATGCAGGCTTTCCCGCAACCTCCGACTATACAGCTGGACCGACATATAGAGATTGGTAAAGGGAGCTGCTATGTGGGGAGCGAACTGAGCAGAAAATTGGGTGAATTGGTGGGATCTTCTGCTGAATCCCTGCACATACATGACGTATTGATACATGCCACTGTTCCTCAATATTATTGGTTTGGCTTCCTTAAGTGGTGCTGCGTGGAGAGGTGCCCAAAGTTGGATGTTGTCTTCCCATGGTTATCATGTGGATTCGATAATCTGGAGACCTTTTGGGCGTCGGATCTCCTAATGGCCCGCTGGATCTGGAGTAAAGCTTCAGGGAATATTATCTTCCCCCGCACAGATTCCTTTCGAAATCTACAACAGATACACCTGCGCTCCTGCCTCGGCCTCCAGTTCGTGCTCCCGCTATTGGTCTCCTCATTCCCCAGCTTGAAGACCCTTCACATCATTCACTGTGGCGAGCTCAGCCATGTCTTTGTACTGTACGAGAAAATAACCACCCATGATGTATCATTTCCGAAGCTGACCACCATCCACTTGCATGACCTCCCGAAGTTGCAGCAGATAAGTAGTAACTTCATGATGGTGGCACCCGCACTCGAGAGCATCAAGATAAGGGGATGCTGGAGCCTGCGCCGGCTGCCATTCGTGGGTGCCCGTGGCCAAGGCGAGAAGAAGCCAGCCGTCGAGATGGAGAAGGACGTGTGGGACGCTCTGGAGTGGGATGCCGACCACCGCCCTGATCACTTTGAGGCGCCGCTCCACTCGCGCTACTACAAGGCAAAACTACCCAGGGTCTCCGTCCTCAGGTATTGTCATCCATGTGCATACTGCCGAATCCATCTGTGTACTATTAATTAGTTCTGGTACTGCTCTTGATTGCATTCAGACATTCAGTTGCTAAGCATTTTTTGTCTCTGTCTCTCACGTACGTCGCTTAGGTGATCAACTCTTCACTGCTGATGCTACTGATGCTCCTGAGTTCAAATTCTCGCCTTTGAGAACGTTGAACACTCCTGCTGCTGCTGCTGGTGGATCAAGGATCATGCATTTGGTTTGCTTGTGTGCTTGCTTGGATTGCTATTGTGTGTTATTATTGTTAATGCCTCAGGGGAGAGCTTACGGTGGCTCTCGTCATATACCATGGCTTTCAAATAAGAGATGGACAGGCTTGTGCCTGGTCCGTGTGTGTGCGTGTGGTTTTGGAGATTGTGGTGGCTTGTTGTGGATGCCTGCATGCATCCACCAGGCTGCATTTCTGTGTGTGTGGCTTTGATGAGTGCTTGCTTTGCTAGTGTGACTTATTTGAGAGTGTGTTTGCCATGTATCTGAACAAATGAACAGCTGGTTGGGTGTGCTGAACTGTGTGGTTTGTTTGTGATGCTTTTGAATGTTAAACATTGTCACGTATAGATACAGGTCACGTATGGATACAGGCCACCTTCGGTGCTAGGATAGTTAGAGGAGATCTCTTTGTTTTATTTTCATGTTTATCTCTTATGTAATCCTCTCTATCCCCAATGTATCTCTCTGGTGGTTTCAACTACCTCAATGTATGCCTCCTGCGAGAGCTGGCCTCGCCCATATCAATATATATACGCGGACTCCCATATTACGGGGTTGAGACGCTTCTACAAAACCTAACATGGTATCAGAGCCTCCCTCTTCCCTCTCGTCTAGCCTCCATCATCGATCTCCACCAACGCATCAAACCTTGTCTCGCCATGTCTTCCTCCATCTCAACTCTATCCTCCGCTGGCCTAAACAACACCATCTGAGAACCCCTGACTCGCACGAACTATGTTCTGTGGCGAGCTCAAGCCCGATCTCAGATTATAGGAGCGGGCATCCTAGGATACCTAGATCAAACAATCCCAGAACCACCAGCCACCATCACCTCAAAGAACGCTGAAGGCAAAGATCAGATCGTTCCAAACCCAGCCTACTCCGCCTGGTTGATCCAGGATCAGCAGCTTGTAGCCTATCTCCTTTGCAATCTCTCGAAAGAAGTTCTGGTGCAAGTCGCCTCCTTAGAAAAATCCCACTCCATCTGGACTACTCTCGCAAACATGTTTGCTGCCCAGTCCAGGTCGCGAGCCAACAACTGCTGGGCCGCCCTCTCCAATGCCCAAAAGGGTTCTCAATCCGCTGTTGCGTACTTCGGTCATATACGTGCACTCGCAGATGAACTTGCCATGGCTGGAAAGCCTCTTCTCGAAGGAGAGCTGATCTCCTTCCTCATTGCTGGCCTTGATATGGACTATCAACCCCTCATATCCGCTCTTGATGTTCGCACTGAGCCCCTCTCGGTCGACGATCTGTTCAACATGGTGTCGAACTTCGGTCAGAGAGTGGAGATGTTCCACGGCTCTGGATCGGGCACCTTCAAGTCCTCCGCAAACGCCGCCGCTCGCGGACGTGGTGGCCCTCCCAAGGGCAACCGTGGTTTCCCCAAGAGTGGTGGCAACAATGGCAGCAGCAACGGCTGCTTCAACAACAGCGGCAACAATGGCGGCTACCGCGGCGACGGCGGCTATGGAAACAGCGGTGGCAATGGCTACCGCGGCGGTGGTGGCGGCAACTACAACAACTACAACAACAACCATGGTGGCGGCGGCGGCTACTACAACAACAACAACGGCCAACCGCGTCACTACTACAACAACAACCAAGGTCGCCACTTTGCCGGGTATGAGGAATATGAGAACAAATGTCAGATTTGCAAAAAAACTAACCACATCGCAAAAGAGTGCAAATGGCGTTATGCAGAGGATAACTCCCAGAGGAAACGAGTTTTGGCTGCAGTAGATACCTCCTACAGAGTTGACTCCAACTGGTACCTTGACTTCGGTGCCAACGAGAACATTACCTCTAATCTTGAGAAGCTGGCCATGCATGAAAGATATCACGGCAAGGAGCAAATCAACACAGCAGAAAACGCTGCAGGTATGATGATAAGTCATGTTGGTCAGTCTATTGTTAAAACCCCACATTCTGATATTCATCTCAAAGATGTCTTACATGTTCCAAGTGCATCCAAAAATCTCCTTTCCGTTCATCGTATCACACTTGATAATGGAGCTTTTATTGAATTTCACCCATTTTTCTTTTTGATCAAAGACCAGGTCACGAGGAGGGTCCTCTATCGCGGTAGATGCGTGCACGGCCTCTATCCGTTGATTCCCAAGTTTTCCAAGTTCAATAAGCAAGCTCATGGAGCCTTCAAAGTCTCTTCAGAACGATGGCACAATCGTTTAGGCCACCCATCTTTTTATATTGTTTATCAATTTCTTAGTAAACATAAGCTACCTTTTGTTGGTGAGCATGATCGTGAAACTATTTGTGATGCTTGTCAGAGGGAAAAAAGTCATCAATTGCCCTATTCTATTTCTACCAGTGTGTCCACAAAACCCTTGCAACTTATTTTCTCTGATGTATGGGGTCCAGCCCCCTCCTCTGTTGGTAGACACACATATTACATGAGCTTTATTGATGATTATAGCAAGTACACATGGATCTATTTGCTTAAGAAACGTTCCGATGTTTTCTAAGTTTTTCACAACTTTCAATCCCTAGTTGAGAGAAAATTTGATAGCAAAATTATTACCATGCAATCAGACTGGGGTGGTGAGTACGAAAAACTCAACTCCTTTTTTCAGAAAATAGGGATTTCTCATCATGTTTCATGTCCCCATGCTCACCAGCAAAATGGCTCCACAGAACGTAAACACAGACACATTGTTGATGTGGGGTTTTCACTTCTTGCTGCTGCCTCCATGCCCTTGAAGTTTTGGGATGAGGCCTTCTTAACTGCGGTTCACCTTATAAATCTTGTCCCTAGTCGAGTTATCAACAATGAAACCCCAACTGAGCGCCTCTTTCACACCAAGCCAGATTATACTTCTCTCCGTGTCTTTGGGTGTGCGTGTTGGACTAATCTTCGTCCTTATAACACTCACAAACTTAGCTTTAGATCAAAACAGTGTGTTTTTCTTGGCTATAGTGCCCAACACAAGGGAGTAAAATGTCTAGATGTGGCCACGGGACATGTTTACATCTCCCGAGACGTTGTTTTCGATGAAACAAAATTCCCCTTTGAATCCCTTCATCCAAATGCCGGTGCCCTTCTTAAACAAGAAATACTTCTACTTCCACCTTCCCTATCCTGCGTTGATCACGGGGGTGAACACAATAGTACTGATCAACCTTTGACTACTCATCATGTTTTGCCTGAGTTTATTGCTGCAGATTGATCATCAGGAATAAATTTGGATCCAAGCGGGCATCATTTTATGTGCCCCCTAGCAGGAGACACCGAACCACAAGGTGGATCCGCCTCGGGATCGCCCCTGCAGGCGGCAGACAGATCTGCTTCGGGATCCGGTGCTGCAGCACCTGATTCTGCCTCGGTGCCCGTGCGCCTCGTAGTGGACATCGGCAGCGTCACGGGTGGGTGCATGCAACCCACCATCCAGCGCCAACCAGAGGAGAGCACGTGGAGGGGACCAACCGCAGATTCGTCTGGCCCCGCATCGCCTGGCCCCAGCGCCAGGGCGGATCGCTCGCCCAGCCCGCGGTCGCCTGCGCCAGCGACAGGATCTCCCTCGGGATTGGGGTCGCCAGCACTTGACACTGACGTAGGAGGATCTCCACCTCCTAGATCGCCTGTGCAACAGCAGCCTGTGGCCTCTCCTGTGGCACCACGCACCAGACTACAAAGGGGAGTTACTCCTCGCATGAATTACAAAAACTTCTCCAAATTTGGCATGTTATGTACTACTGGTGAACCTAATAGTTTGAAAGCAGCTCTTGATGATCCCAGGTGGGAACAGGCAATGGAAGAAGGGTTCAAGGCTTTAATGAAAAACAAGACGTGGCATCTTGTTCCCCCTCTGCAAGGCAGGAATGTGATTGACTGCAAATGGGTGTATCGAATCAAGAAGAAATCTGATGGCACAGTAGATCGTTATAAAGCAAGACTTGTGGCCAAGGGCTTCAAGCAAAGGTATGGCATAGACTACGAGGACACGTTTAGTCCAGTTGTTAAAGCTGCAACGATACGTCTCGTACTGTCAATTGCTGTGTCTAGGGGATGGAGCCTTCGACAGCTAGACGTACAGAACGCGTTTCTCTATGGTGTTCTGGAAGAGGAAGTGTACATGAAACAACCTCCTGGGTTTGAAGATAAAGATGCACCTTTTCATGTGTGTAAGCTTGATAAGGCTACATATGGATTAAAACAAGCCCCTAGAGCATGGTACTCACGGTTAAGTATGAAACTGCAAGCACTTGGTTTTATTCCATCAAAGTCTGACACCTCCTTGTTCATCTACCATAAGCATCAAACCTTCATATTTGCCCTCATATATGTTGATGATATTATTGTCACCAGTTCTTCAAATGGAGCAGTGTCAGCTTTACTCAAAGACCTAGGGTCAGAATTTGCTCTCAAGGATTTGGCAGACTTGCATTTCTTTCTAGGTATTGAGGTAAACAAAATTAATAATGGTATTCCCTTGTCACAAGCAAAATATGCAACAGAGTTGTTGAGCAGAATTAGCATGGCAAATTGCAAATCCTCACCGACACCCTTGTCTAGTTCAGAAACTTTGTCTTTAACAGAAGGAGAACCTTTGACTCAAGAGGACATTACTGGGTACATAAGCTTGGTGGGTGGTCTTCAGTACTTAACTCTTACCAGACCAGATATCTCTTTTGCAGTTAACAAGGTGTGTCAGTTTCTCCATGCACCTACCACAGCCCATTGGACAGCAGCCAAAAGAATTTTGAGGTACATAAAGAATAATTTAACCACAGGTCTTACGTTTCAACAGTCATCTTCCACACTTGTGAGTGCTTTCTCAGATGCGGACTGGGCTGGTTGTTTGGATGACAGAAGGTCTACAGGGGGTTTTGCTATATTTTATGGTCCTAACCTAATTTCATGGTGTGCCAGAAAACAAGCCACTGTGTCCAGGTCAAGTACAGAAGCAGAATATAAAGCATTAGAAAATGCCACAACAGAGGTCATTTGGATTCAACCTATGCTTAAAGAACTTGGAGTATCTCAAGTTCAACCTCCATGTTTGTGGTGTGACAATCTTGGTGCCACTTATTTATCTGCTAACCCAGTTTTTCATGCCAGAACCAAGCACATTGAGATAGGCTTTCATTTTGTAAGAGAACGAGTTGCCAATAAACAACTTGATGTTCGGTTTATTCCTTCCAAAGACCAGCTTGCAGATGGTTTCACAAAGGCCTTACCAACCAGAAGCTTTGAAGAATTCAGGCGTAATCTCAACTTGAGACAGTTATGATTAAGGGGGCGTATTAAACATTGTCACGTATAGATACAGGTCACGTATGGATACAGGCCACCTTCGGTGCTAGGATAGTTAGAGGAGATCTCTTTGTTTTATTTTCATGTTCATCTCTTGATGTAATCCTCTCTATCCCCATGTATCTCTCTGGTGGTTTCAACTACCTTAATGTATGCCTCCTGCGAGAGCTGGCCTCGCCCATATCAATATATATACGCGGGCTCCCATATTACGGGGGTTGAGACGCTTCTACAAAACCTAACATTGGAAAAAAAAAGCAGCAGTTGTACATGCGTGCTGATTGCGAGTGTGACTTACGTTTGACTAGCTGCTTGCGAGTGACTTATTTCGACTAGCTGCTTGCGAGTGTGACTTATTTTGACTGTACTTACCATGTACTCCTTCCGTTTGGAATTACTCGTCCAAGAAATGAATGTATCTAGATGTATTTTAGTTGTAGATACATTCATTTTTATTCATTTTTGTGACAAGTAATTCCGAACGGAGGGAGTATTATCTGAACAAAGCTGCAGCTGGCCTGGTTGTGTGTGTCTGCAACTCTGCTTGCATCAATCAACCATGCTACCTTAGTACTTTGTTTGTGAAGATTTTCCCAAAAAAAGAGAGCAGCTAAGCTATAAATGTTTGCTGGTTGTTTCCTTTACCAGTCTATGTGTGAATGATTATTGATTGACCAACTTGTGAAGTCTGGAGCAATTTTTTGTATTTTCAATGCGAGAGTGGTTTTTCTACACCCACCCTTAATTACTAGTGTTTTGTTCTCTTGTTCTAGACAGCAGTTTGGGGTGTTAGTATGCTACTGATGCTGACAGTGATTACAATTTACAAATGTACCCACTGACTGCTGCGTTCGCAAACCGCCAAACCCTAACTGCCGATCACCGGAAGAGCACGACATTGAGGACCAAGAGCCCTTCCCTCCCCTCCCGCTTCGCTCCCGCGAGCGACCGCGGGGGGGCTCCCCCCTAGCGCGTCGGCGGGCCGTCCTCCCTCCCCTCTCCCTCCCCTCGCTGCCGCCGGTTCGCGCCGCCGGGCAAAGCCCGGTGGGCGTCAGCGGCGGCGGGGTTTCTCACCCCCCTCCCCTTCAGAGACGGTCGGCGCGGGCCGCGGAGCTCCGGTTGGTGGCGATGTGCGGGCGCGGGGCGCGTCGGCGTGGTGGCGGGCATCTGGCGGCGGCGGCGCGGATGTGTGGCCCGGCGCGGTGGGCTGCGTGGTGGCGGCGCCCGTCGCGGCGGCGGCAGTCAGATCTGGTCCGGTCCAGGCCCGATTCGGGCGGTGGTGGCGGCGGTTGGCCCGGTGGTCGCCGGTGGCTTCTCCTCCCGCTCTTGGAGGTCTCCTCCTGCCTCCATGTGTGGATGGAGTGGCTGCCGGGCGGGGGGCGGCACGTCCGTCTTGGATCTGTTGTGGGATCCGGGTGGACGGCACGGCTAGGGCAGCGGCCTGGTGTAGCCGTTGCTCCAGTCGTGGGCGGCGGCGAGCGAAGGTCCGGCACTTGGTGGTGGCCTCCTGGGGATGCGACGGCTACACGGTGGTTTGGCGGATCTGCCAGCGGCGACGGCCGGCTATCTCCGGCGTCGGCTCGTCTGCGGTCGGACCGCTTCGACCATCGCTCCATCTCCTCATCGCCCGGTCGATAC